TTAGACCTACTGCATACACTAAATATGAGTGCTTTAGGTTAGACCTACAGCATACACTAAATATGAGTGCTTTAGGTTAGAGTCCTATTTGTTTACTTACTGTACACAAACATAACATTGTCACATTTGCTTAAATCGGTAAAATTGGATATCAGGGATTATTTCAGAAATATTCCCCCGGGAAAGGGGGGGGGTGCAGTTCAGATTTTTTCAGGGGGGGGGGTAGCAGCGCCAGTTAATTTATTGGTGGACATATTCTTGCTCCGGGGGGGGGCACTTGGCTTTCTCGGGGGGTTGTAGTGCCCGGAGATATAGCTGAAAGAAACCCTGTTTGATATGTAGGCCTACAACAAATTTTATTTCCACAATGTGTGAAACTTCTTCATCATTATATCAATGATACATATCTACCTTCAATAGTTAGCTTCACTGATAGTCTATTAGCTATACTCACATGCAGTAGTTTAACTTAATTGATTATCTATCAGCTACTCACCTGTATTAGTTTGACTAAATTGATAAGGTATTTAGGAATAATGATCCCAAGCATGGCCAGGACCATGAAAAGGCTGCCATATTGGAAACGTATATTGAAAGTCGGTCTGTAAAAATATTCAACATGAACTACACATGTGTCTATAGTCTATGGTTAAACATATTATTCTAAAAACACCCTTGGCCATAAGATGCAATAAATGAACCTGTCTTTTCAAGAACAGAGATGGGCTAGTGATTAAAATAAAAATTGATGAGCGATGTCTAAGGCAAGAGCTTCCAGACTACCAGTATTTGGAAGTTCTATGACAGCTCTATGAATCTAAGTCTAAATATAACTCTTAACTATTAGATATAAACAATGACATCAAAATGACTTTTGAGAGATTGTCATGTATTTCACAGTGATATTCAAAGTGGTTGTCCGCGGAGCATTGCCGGGTTAGCGAGCCCCTATTCCCCGTCAGCAAAACTGAATACACTGAAAAGTTGAAATTTTTATTGTTTAATTATATATATATATGAACCATTTGGGACCGTTCCTAGGAACCATTTGGGCAACGTTGAAACTCTGTCAGGTAGCAGGTAGTCACGGTGTACGGTTTGGGAAACATAAAGTTTGTCCTCACCTTATGACAGACTGTCAGGTATTTAAAAAAAAAAAAGTAAAAGATCAACTTACGACAGACGGTCATGCACAAATATAAAACCTTTCTCCTCGCAGGCCGGGAGTGAGCAGAAACAAGCGGTGATGCTCAGGGAGCAGATGACGAGTGCTGACATGTACTTGAGTCGGTCTGCAGCGTGAAACCTGCCAGATTATACGACATTGACTTAACAGAAATTGTGCAGCGTGACCTAAAATGACAACAAAAAAAAAACTGAGACCATGACGTATATGACATGGCCGGCAGTCAGCATATAGCAAATAACTGTCATACACAACAGCCGGTGTGTTTTTCACATGACCCAACTGTCATACACAACAGCCGATATTTTTTCTGTCATGTCACATAAATGACATAACCTACTTCCCACCACTGAATATATCCTATGTTAAATTCGTTCATGCTAAATAAGACCATGGTAATTAAGACAAAGGTAACTGAGACAAAGGTAAATACGACAAAGGTAATTAAAGAATGGAGCATGACGTGCCCCTTAAAGCACAAATTCCATGACCTACTTGTATGAGTCCGTGAGTGAGAGCACGATAAGGTCACATATATAGGTCACAGCTAGGTGACTGTGAAAGATGCACGTCGTGTTGATGAAAGCAATCCAGGTGGTCTTGAATTCGTTATAGGTCCACTCATTGTATCTGATGGCTTGGAGGAATGTCCACAGTTAGTTGGGTGAAGAGGCTTTCTCTCCTCCCTCAGAACCTTCTCTTCTCCCCAAGACCTTCTCTTCTCCCCAAAACCTTCTTTTATCCCCTCAAGAACCCCCCCCCCCAAAGACCTTCTCTTTTCCCCTCAAGAACCTCTCTCCCCCCTCTCAAGTCTCAAGACCTTCTAACCTTCTTTTATCCCCCCAAGACCCCCCCCCCCCAAAGACCTTCTCTTTTCCCCTCAAGAACCTCTCTCCCCCCTCTCAAGTCTCAAGACCTTCTCTCTCCCTTCAAGAACCCCTCTCCCCCTCTCAAGTCTCACTCTCCCTTCAAGAACCTCTCTCCCCCTCTCAACTCTCAAGAC